ATGGCTCAGAGCCTGGAGCCTGTTTCCGATTCTGTGTCTCCCTCTCTCTGACCCTCCCCCGTTCATGCTCTGTCTCTCTCTGTCCCAAAAATAAAATAAAACGTTGAAAAAAAAAAAAATAAAAGCAAAAGCTTTAAAAATACTTAGAAATGTGCATTTTTATTTATTATTTATTTACTTTTTGAAAAAAGTTTATTTTGAGAGAGACAGAGACAGTGCGAGTGGGGAAGGGGCAGAGAGAGAGAGGGAGACAGAATCCCTAGCAGGCTCTGCACTGTCAGCGTGGAGCCTGATGCAGAGCTCGAACCCACAAAACCGTGAGATCATAACCTGAGCCGAAACCAAGAGTCAGCGCTTAACCTACTAAGCCACCCAGGTGCCCTAGAAATGGGTTTGTTTGTTTGTTTGTTTATTTATTTATCTAGTATTTAAAAAATTTTTTATTAGAAATGTGTATTTTTAAATCAAAGGCTATACGCTCTCACTCAAAGGCAGTATAGCATACTTCTTCATTTTTAATTGAATGAGGCAGATCTCTATCATAATCCCATTTCTTTTTATAACATTTTTCTTAATGTAATTTTACATAATTTAAATTACATTTGAAGGTTTATGCTTGCTCTTTCATCTACTACGATGTCTTCAGTGCCTAGATTAGTGCCTTGCACATAGTGTTCAGTGTTTACTGAATGAATAAATAAATCAATGAATAAAGTTATTGCCTACTTTTGTTAATTTTAGAAGAGTTTTTCTTAACCACAATTAGACACATTGTTTCCTTTTTAAACTAGATTTATGGTGTGGTATTTTTTACTTCTACTGCATGTGAATTATGTATTATTTACTTTGGAAGAAGAAACCTTAATTTGTCATGAGAAAACAGCAAACTACTTTTTTCTCTAACGTTGAGGGCTTACACTGTGCTAGGCCATGTGTTATCTTGACTTGTTGAATTAAGTGCTATTTATTACTATATTGAAGATGAAGAAATTGAGGCACAGAGATGTTAATGTAAATTTACTCAAGAAATCCATGTGCTTTGGCTCTGTTTCAAACATTTATCATTTAGGTAACATTTAGAAGTTTTAATTTGTACTTAGTTCTGGTGAGAGGATACAAAGGGAATACTAAACAAAATTAAGTTAATTAATGTGGTTAAGAAGTATTTTATTGGTAGCCACTTGTTATTGTGTGTTGAAATAATAACGCTCTGTTAGTTTTTTTTCTTTTAGTTGGGTGAATATCACAGTGTTGCTCAATAGCCCAGCCATTAGGAAATACAGTACCATACTGAATACTGAATATTGTAATGAAGCTAGAAGCAATTCTGACCATTACAACCATATTCTGGAATGAAGAAATGGGAGAAGGGAAAAAGGACATTTACTAGTTGAATCTGGTAGCTCAACCCAATGATGTCTGCTTATATTTCACTGACCAGGATTATGTCATACAGTCAGCACATCTGAAAGGGAGAGTGAGAATGTAGTACTTTTCTGTAGTTGGGCATATTGCCACCTTCAACTTCTCCTAAGGAAGAAGAGGGAAAGATACTGGATAGGCAACAATATCTGCCTTAGATAGATCTAGCAGGTTTCTAAAATGTAACAGGAACTTTGAATGAAAAACCCTTCCTTATTTTTTGTTGTACGTTTAGGGGCACCTGGGTGGCTCAGTCGGTTAAGCCTCTGACTTCGGCTCAGGTCATGATCTTGCGGTTCATGGGTTCGAGCCTTGCCTTGTGTGGGGCTCTGTGCTTACAGCTTGGAGCCTGGAGCCTGCCCTGGGTTCTGGGTCTCCCTCTCTCTCTCTACCCCTCCCCCGCTTACACTCTGTCTCTCTCTTTTTCAAAAATAAATAAACATTAAAAAAATACATTTCAGGGTCGCCTGGGTGGCTCAGTCGGTTAAAACGTCCGACTTCAGCTCAGATCATGATCTCGCGGTCCGTGAGTTCGAGCCCCACATCGGACTTTGTGCTGACAGCTCAGAGCCTGGAGCCTGTTTCAGATTCTGTGTCTCCCTCTCTCTCTGACCCTCCCTCATTCACGCTCTGTCTCTCTCTGTCTCAAAAATAAATAAACGTTAAAAAAAAAAAAAGAATAAAAAAATACATTTCAATAGGTCAGAAGGTAATCTTAGGAATATTTAAAATTGACTTTTCGTGGGATGCCTGGGTGGCTCAGTTGGCTAAGTGTCCGACTTCAGCTCAGGTCATGGTCTCGTGGTTCATGAGTTCAAGCCCCATGTCGGGCTCTGTGCTGACACCTTAGAGCCTGGAGCCTGTTTCAGATTCTATGTCTCCCAGAACTTATTTCTGCGCTTCCCCTGCTCGCACTCTGTCTCTCTCTCTCTCAAAAATAACTAAACATTAAAAAATTTTTTTAAAATAAAATTGACTCTTTGTGATTAGGAATGTTCAGTGTTTATGAATAAAATTTGGTGTATTAACTTGGTGGATCTGATGATTTTCATTTGGACAGATTGTACCTAATTTACTGCTTAACATAACCCTGAAAAACTCAGTATACCTGTTTTTCAAATGAGGACACTGCAGCTCAAAGTGGTTAAGTCACTTTGTTCAAGGTCACACAGCTAAGTGTCAGAGCTGAGATTGAGCCCAAATTAAAAAAAATCCATGCTCAGGGTGTCTGGGTGGCTCAGTTGGTTGAGTGTCCAACTCATGTTTCCCACTCAGGTCATGATCTCACCAGTTTGTGGGATGGAGCCCCATGTCAGGCTCTGTGCTGAGCGTGAAGCCTACTTAGGATTCTCTCTCTCCCTCTGTCTCTCTCCTCTGCTCTTGTGTACGTGGACTCTCTCTAAAATAACATTTTTAAAAAGTTAAAAAATAAGAAAAGTAAGAATACTTTTTTTTTCCCCCCCACAAAGTTTTACTTTATAGATTCCAATTCTAGTGTATGAGATGGACATTTTGGAGTTCCTGTTTCTTCAAGCTCCTATTGTTTATGGTCTTTTCCAAATTAAATTTTATTTTTTCCTTCCCCTTAAATTTCTTTATTAAAGCTTTAATTTTGAAGTGATGGTAAAATAAGAGGAAAGTTGGGGCGCCTGGGTGGCGCAGTCGGTTAAGCGTCCGACTTCAGCCAGGTCACAATCTCGCGGTCCGTGAGTTCGAGCCCCGCGTCAGGCTCTGGGCTGATGGCTCGGAGCCTGGAGCCTGTTTCCGATTCTGTGTCTCCCTCTCTCTGCCCCTCCCCCATTCATGCTCTGTCTCTCTCTGTCCCCCAAAAAATAAATAAACGTTGAAAAAAAAAAATTAAAAAAAAAAAAATAAGAGGAAAGTTGGAAAAGTAGGGCAAATAACTTCTAAATACCCTTTTCTCAGATTAACCAGTTGCCAACATTTGCCACATTTGTTTTATCATTCCCACTTTATCTCTATATACAGATTATATATATTTTTTTCATCATTTGAAAGCTAGTTGCTGCTATCATACCTCTCCACTTCTAAATATTTTGGTGTGTGTTTTCTTTTTTTTTTT